GATTGGTTCATCTACCTGTTAAACTTGACTGCAAGACCCAAGTCAGCAATGCAGCATGTTCCATTTTTCTTTATCAAGATGTTTTTACTCTTCAGGTCCCTGTGTGCAATAGCAGGCTTGCCTTGTGTCCCATAAATTTCTGTGTGGAGATGGCACAGGCCACACGCAGCAGAATAGGCCAGTTTGAGGAGAGCCCTGTTGTCTAGTGTAGTGCATTTCAGAAAATCATACAATGACCCATTTTCATGATAATCTGTAATCAAGTAAAGCTGTGTCCAGGAGCCAGTGCCTTTAATATCCGCAGCTATGAAACCTGTGAAATACATTAACAAAGTTACCATTTATTTGTACATCAAGATGTCGTGCAACAGATTTATTAAGAATTCCTAAAGCTATTTTGTCTTGGGCTGTATGGAAATACACCTGCTCCTCCCACAAAAATGAATGTAAAAGCTCAAGTTTTCGACTGCACATGAAGTTACCATTCCAGTTTTCCAGCAAAGAGATGGCAGACACGTTTCCAATAAGGAGCAGAAATGTGCTACCCTTTCAGTAACAGCTTACTAGCACACATTAAGGCACACCCACTTAGTTTTTCACACATACATCCCTCAAGCCTCCAGCAGCTGAAGAGCACACTGCTTCCTTACCAAGGATGTTCTCATGGCGCATTAGAACCGTTTGGTAAATCTCTGTTTCTCGGAACCAACTGGCTTCTTCTGTGGTGAAAAACACTTTCACTGCAACTTTTTCACCCCTCCATTTACCCATCCACACTTCACCGTATCGCCCTTTGCCAACTTGCCTCACCATCTGAATTTGTTTGGCAATAGTGCGCTGAACCTGAAGCGGAAAAATAAAAGTTAAGAAATAAATGGCAGGGGGGGTGGTGGTGCTGGAGGGGGAGGTGAGAGAAGGAAACCCAGGGATCAACCAAAAGTACCTGGCCAAGCTGCTTGTCGAGCCTGGATTGCTCTGAATTTTGATCCCATTATCAGAGCTTGTTCTGTTTATTATTTTCCACTATTCCCATTTCAAAATCATCAGTGTTGCCTCCAAGGACAAATTGTATAACAACCCCCAAAAGACTAAAGCAGATCAACTTCTTACTTAATTCAGACACTTTCTCTTGTATTCTGTTAGTTTCTGTTTTATTAACAATTACAGTCATCTATCTCACTGGTTAGTTTTTATGCAAGTATCAAGTAGGATGGTGAATCAAAAATGATAGACAACTATCAGTCAATAAAAAGCAAATCTGTTTTCCTGGACAGCAGACACAAAGAAAAAAAAAATCTTTGTGTTTGCCCAATTTGATAATTGTATTATCCATTCATTGCATTTTTATCTTTATATTTGTAAGCTCTATATTTCTTGAAATTTTGCTGATGCCAACAGATGTCGTAAGAAACTAATTCTGCACTTCATTTTCCTTAATTATGTGAAGATGGGCTTTAGTACATGTTTAGTTTGTACTGTATCTTTCAGAGTAACTGCATGTAAAAAAAACTAATGTACTTTATGGATAAACTGCTTTGTTGTAGGCATCAAGTACAAACCAAACTTTGTATTTGATGGAGACAAGTTCAGTGAAGAAAAATCTTCGTTTATGGTTTACCAACAACGGCAGTCCCGATCCACTCCCAGAACTCTGTGACTGGTCAATAAGGTCTTTTAATGACTCCCCAGCTGGAATAAATGCTTCATCTTGTTCCAGGTCACGATTATAACAGTGCCTCTTTGCCATCGACTTACAGTAATGTCTGCAAGAGGAACAGAAGTTAAGCTGAAACACAAAACACTCTTCAAGATGCACAGTAAACTGAACTAGGAAAAAACCTATTTACATGTATGAATTTTCTTAGAAAGAAAATATCAGACTATATTTTACTATTTTTTCAGAAATGTAACTTATCTAGTTTAATATTAAGAAGTTGTAATGCATGTAGAGGCACATCAATTTATTATGAGTAAAGTAGAAAACCAGCATTTTTACTACTTGGCTCACAGCTAGTGTTCCTAGCCCAATACCCTTGGTTTTGATTTAAACACTGACTCTTGAACCATGGTAGACAAGACTGATACATGCACATTTTTGTTGAAACTGCTATTAACAATCATCACCTCCAGCAGAGGCCTGGAGCTGACAGAAGCAGGCACAGCCTCTTAAACTGCATTTGCATAAACTGCCATACAGCTGCTCAACTGTTTAGTTTTAAAACGCAGCAGCAGAAGCAAAAGTAATAAAATTCATTCTTGCTGCTTCAGGTTTACAAAAGCACTCTACAAAGGTAGTCTCAGTAGTAAATGGAATTTTCTGTCAAAAGTGACTGAAGATCCAAACCCATAAAAAGCATAGAGATATCCCTATTTACTGGATGCTACAGCAAAGTTATGGGTAGCTTAGAAAAGCATAAACACTTAGCAGCCAAGGGAAAGGATCAAATTCACTTAATTTCTATGCTGCCAACAGTTTGTTTTACCTAGCCATGCAAACTGCTATTCACAGAACTGTGAAGTTCAATTCCATCACTTTCACTTCCAGAAATACATGATTATGTTGACAAAATAACTGTTCTGTTTACACTATGATTGAGTACATTGACAAAATAACTGTTCTGTTTACACTCATTTGGGAAATTAAAAACATCATCAATAAAGAAAGCACTTTCCTTACTTGTAACAAAAGCAGCTAAGTAAGATGACCATGACAATGATGCAGACTGCCATAGAAATCAACACTGCCATCCAACGAATGCTGCCATCAAAAAGTCCATCTATTTAAAAAAAAAAGATTCCAAAGTCTATTAATTAAACATCTATTTATTATAAATAGTTTATTTCGGTACATTTTCACATATTGTGCCTATGAAGGTGGACAAACTGAAACACAGAAGGTTTTGTCTGAACATCAGGAAATGATTCTTCACTGTAAGTGTGGTGAAACATCAGCACAGGTTGCCCAAAGAAGCTGTGGAGTCTCCCTCCCTGGAGATATTCAGAAGTTATCTGGACATGGTCCTGTGTAACTAGTTCTAGGGGGTCCTGCTTGAGGGGTCCCACCCATGGGGTGAGTCAGATAATCTCCAGAGGTCCTGTCCAATCCTCAAGCAGTCTGTGATACTATGGGGAACCACTTGCAAAATATCAGAAAGCAGGAGGACAGCTGATGCACACAGTATATTTGTTCACATGAAATTACACAAAATTCATACTGTCTTAGTATCACATGAAGAATTTACATCAGAAAAGCAGAGATAATTTCATTTGGATGACAAAAAAAAAATGATTTGAGATTCTGGTGTTGTTTAATTGACTCTTGTTGGTATGTTCTTGGAAATAGAAATTACAGATTTATAGCCTAAGATTACGAGATGGTATTAAGCAACAGATAAACCAGTACAACTTGTCTAGCAATGAATAAGTGCATGAAAACAAACTATTTCCACTGGGAACAACTGAAAGAAGAGAATGAATTTACAGTATACAGCAGTTAAAAATATCAGAAAAAAAAATTGATTTGAGATTTTGGAGTTGTTGGTTTTAATTGACTCTTGTTAGTATGTTCTTGGAAATAGAAATTACAGATTTATAGCCTAAGATTACGAGATGGTATTAAGCAACAGATAAACCAGTACAACTTGTCTAGCAATGAATAAGTGCATGAAAACAAACTATTTCCACTGGCAACAACTGAAAGAAGAGAAAGAATTTACAGTATACAGCAGTTAAAAATATCAGAAATTTTTTTTAAAGATACATTGATCATGGCAACAGCACAGCAGAGATTAAGAAATCATTTTAAAAAGAAAAGAGAACAGGCTGTGGAAACAGAGTAAAAAAAACAGATTGGAAGATCACATGCAGGTCAAGTGATGAGCAAACTGAGTAAGGGAATAAAAACCCCAGGAGGGACTGATGGAGAAGAACATTAACTTGGAAATGGCAGAAAAGGAAAACTGAAATGGAGTGTGAAGTGTAGCACACAACTGCAAGATTCAAAATTACTAATTAAGGAAAAAACAGATCTGTGCAATACTGCTATTACATTTTCTCCTTATTTTTAGCTATTGGCCAGGAAGAAGAGAATCCACATAACATTTATTAGTAGCAGTGTGAACATCTAGGAGCTGTTTACCTGTACTATCAAGAGGTGGTAATGTTGGCTGTAAATCCTGATTGCAGAAATCAGTCCGACAGCACTCAATTGTTCGACGTAATTGTGCTTTAGGTGAGTCCTATTGAAGGAGAATTGAACAAATATTCAGGTACTGAAGTCATCAGCTAGGACAGGTACAGGTGATGTCATAGATACAACACAGACAAAAGTTGAAGCTATTTTATTTTAAAAAACAGTTAAATATCACCACTTAATATATGAGAACTTCAGTGGCAGACAGGCATCATCTTTGGATGATTCTATGTTCACTTGTTTATTTTTCATGGAACTTTTTTTTTTGACTTGGTGCACCAAAATAGATGGTTCCTACTCATGCTGCTATTACAGACATTGCAAAATCTTTAAGCTTGGTCAAAAGCAGTTAATGGTATGTTAATAAATAGTGCTCTTAAGACAAAGGAAACCCCAATCCCTTCAGGAGTTTCTCTTGCACACACCATAGCCGCACTATTTGCTTCAAAAAGCAAGACACTGATATAAATACAAGAACAATTTCAAGAAGTCTCCTACCATCTCAGGTCTCATTTACAGTAACCCTAAACATTCACAGCTGTAACTGAAGTCAACAGTGGTTCCAAAAAGCAGTGCTATTGACAGCTACATTATATAGAAAGTCCAGTCCTACAGATTTAGATTTGAGTACCTCAAACAGAGAGAGCACTTGGCAGGTGGGGATGGGGACACAGTAACTCAGCTGGTGATTACCTTTGAAAGCTTTCATGTAAGCAATGTGACAGAAGAAAAAGAAAACGCAGTCTTCCAAGGCAATACTTGTTTGCCCAGGTAGCACTAAATCCCTGTCTTCTAACCAAATCCTTGCTTTACTAATTATATTTTCAATTCCAACATTCGTAACATCTGAGGGAATTCTAAAGGCAGCAGTCTGCTGACTTATATCCCTTTAAATCAAAGCAAGTTATATTTATGCAATTAATGATGCGTAACTCTTCTAGAAAGGAAAAAAGTAAGTTATACACTGGACAGGAAAACATAAGCATTTGATAAACTGTGTGTACGTGTTCATGGAACTTGAAGGGAGCTCTCACGTAATTTGTGGAGATAACTCATTATGATTATGCTTTTCTGCCAAATGCATTGAAGAAAACAAGAAATTCCAAGATAAAACAATCACAAAATTCTGCCTTAAAATATAAGCTACTCAGATCAATTGGGTTGACTGTAAAGTT